GAATGTAGTCATATCTCAGCAAATAGTAAAGATAGGAGGTTTTATTTTATATTGTAGCTTGTCAATATTGGTAAGTTGAGTTTCTTATTCTTATTGTTTGGACATTACAAACATCTAATTTGAACCACAGTTGCATTCAATATACCACATGACACACAGAAAACGCTATTTAGCAATTCTGTTTTAATATTTGCTTTTAAATAAAGAAATTGACTACTGTATAATACTAAAATCTGAATTATAATCTACGATTTGATACCAACCTTATTGATATACATTCACAATGTTGAATGTAAGTCTAGAAACGATGACATTCTTTTTGACCCCTGACCATAGGAAAACTCATAGCGATGGGGTTAAAACTGCTTAGTGCGAAAATGTTTATATTGAATGATCTAATTTCTTTCTTTTTTTTATACAATTATGGAAACAAATTTAGAAAATTAAAGTACATAAAGTAAAACTGAATATGTCAATTAGATGATAGCATTCGTTAAGCTAGAAAAAATAAAAACAAACAAGAGTTTCGTGAAATGATTGATTGTCATTTTCTTTTAATTAATATAACATTTTAATGTTGTCGTCGAGTATCTATCTTTAGTGGCCCCAGTGGCACAGCGGTATGTCTGCGGACTTACAACGCTAGAAACTGGGTTTCGATACCCGTGGTGGGTAGAGCACAGATAGCCCATTGTGTAGCTTTGTGCATAACTTAAAACAAACAAACTATCTTCAGTACTTTACTTTCAAACATCTTTCATTCTGAGATGTGTCTAAATTCGATATAATATAGGTGTACGTAATGTCTTTTACTCGACGGTTAGGCTGGTGATAAGTACATTAAATTTAACCAATAACTAATGTATATTTACGACTAAAGCCGATATGGCTAATAATGATGCAAGGATATTTTAAAAACAGTCAAATTATTAAGCTAATTAATATTTTCTGATTTGGATGCTTTTCATCTTTTGTTAAACTTTCGTGTTATATAAATGGCCTTAGTTATATATGATTTTATTGACAAGCAAAACAATTCAAGTTATATTTTAGCATGATTTTGATTTGTATTTCACACTTAACCTAGTAAGAAATGTATAGCTCGGAAACTATTCTACAGATATGCAAAATGCACATAAATATAAACTGTTTTACTCATATCTAAGCAAATAAAATGTAATATACTGACTGTTCTAATAACAATGAATCATGTTAACAATGTCTCCATGACTTTACGCATATCCGTAAAATATTTCAGACTCCTTGTAATAATGGAAAACATCAATCTTTAAAAAAATTCAACTCGGAAACTTGCCAAATATACAGAATGCTTATAATGTTTATAGCTATTTTATCAAAATAATAATAACGATAGCGTTCTTATAGTTAATTTTTGTGCCAGTTGTTCTTTATCTATAAAAATATATCAAGCGGAAGCACGATTTGATTGATAGTTAAATTAGTTAGGTGATAAAACAAAACCTTCCTTTCCGTATTCCTTAAAAATGTTATCGGAAAAGTAAATAAATGATATTATATTTCCTTCCGAATTCCACAAGAAACTGGCCAAACAAATAAAGATATAAAAACTTTACTTTCCAAATCCCAGGATAATCAGGTCAGACAAGTAACGAAGCAAACCTTAGCTTCCATTACCTCTTCAGAACCAAAACTGATAAGTAAAGAAATGAGACTTTAGTTTGCGAATCACATTACAATCAGATCACAGAAATAAGATAAAAATATATCTCGCTTTCCGAACTATTAGTATATCAACTCAGAAAAACATAAAACAAATCTTTTCAAATCCCTTCAAACAGAATCCAAACATGTAGGAAACTAGACCTTTGTTTTTGGAGTCCAGTTAGAACATGCTAGAAAATCAGACTTATGTTGGACGAATATTTTTTGGGAATCAGGTCAGAAAAAAATGGTAAAACTTCTTTTCAAGTATCTTGAAAGACAGATAATTTAGGAGAGTAAGAAACCACGACTTTTTTTTCCGCATCCATTGAAAAATTCGGTCATACGAATATAAAAAAAAAAGCTTAGCTTTCACACTCTTTAAAACTCAAGGCTGAAAAGAATGGATGTAAGAATTTTTGCTTCGAAATCACAAGATATCTGGGCACAGTAGATAAGAAACAAGGATATTATTTTTAAAATCCCTTAAGAACACTTTAGTTCATAGACAGTGTCACTTAAAACAATCGTGTGATTTCATGATATATCTTCAAGTTTAAAATCATTGTAAATGAGAAGTGTTTTTGGTTGTTTCTTTCATTTCAAACAACGGTGTACAAAGAGCTATCTGAATGCAGCTGTCCCTAATTTTGAACAGATGGGCTGAAGAGAAAATAGCTAGTCAACAGCACCAGTCGTCAACTCTTGGGCTACCTAAAAGTGAAATTTGATCTTTACTCTTATAACGTATCCACAACTCCAAAGTGCTGATCGCATTATTTTGCAACAATGGGCCACAAACACTATAAACTCGGATTCATATTCAGAGCAAGTTAACCAATAAGCCACGCTCTGCTTAATTTGACGAATAACATACTGTTGAATCTGTACTAAGTATATATAGTTTGATTTAATTTTGATCTATGAAATTTAGTTATTTCAGTTAATTGTATCCAAATGTTTGTTTTCGTTGTAATATAAAGCTTAGGTAGGGTTCAATCATATTTAAAGACAGAAACTTCCTCATAACAATTCAGTTGATTTAACAATGATAATCGAACTTTCACAGTGGTATTGTGTTACTTTCAGCCTTGTTAGTAAACCGCGTTTCTACTGTTAACCAGCTTTCCCAAGATAGCATATGTAAATATTTGCAATGATTATGAACATAAATATTTAAAGACAGAAACTTCCTCATAACAATTCAGTTAATTTAACAATGATAATCGAACTTTCACAGTGGTATTGTGTTACTTTCAGCTGTGTTAGTAAACCGCGTTTCTACTGTTAACCAGCTTTCCCAAGATAGCATATGTAAATATTTGCAATGATTATGAACATAAATATCTTGCTCTAAATATTAATCTGTTTAGTTTGTCTTTGTTTTTAGCCGTGATATGTCTGATAATATCTGAAATATGTAGCTTTAAAAGAAAAAGTGCTGAATGAATAACTTAAGTTTTAAGTATGATACCATTCCTACTTTAAGAAAAGTTCCAGCAGGAAAAGACGATATTCTCACCAAAGATATGGTTGAAGAGAGTATTTAAATAAGCTTTTTTATATAACAAACTAAGCAGTATTACTAAATTTAAAGCTTTGTGTTTTATGTAAAGTGATAATAAATCATCAACAAAATAACTCATAAATTATCTTTGATTTTGAAAAACAACACAAATACAGAAATATCTTTTCCCGTAGAGATTTTGGTCATCTGGTGGTAAAGCAGTTAGTCCGTGAACTTATAGTGCTAAAAATCTGGTTTCGATATCTGCAGTGGACAAAACACAGATAACCCATTGTATAGCTTTATGCTTAACGACAAACATACATAGAGATTTTTAAGGATTATTAACCAGACTACTGAACTTATGTGCTTTGTAATCATTATGAGTTTTAGTTGATAAGTATTCAGAGAATAAAGCCATGTCAAAAAGTTTCAAGATTATTTAAATTCTAAGCACGGAAATACCAAGTTTACAGTTGAAGAACAAAAAATAATCTAAATTGCGTTTTTTAATTTTCGATCTAGAGGTCATAAACTTGAACAACAAGTTCGAAGCCAGATACTACCACAAACCAATATTTTCTGATCTGTTCTGTCATTTCAGTACATTCATACCAGACTGTTACAAAACTGATTTAATAAATATTTTAATTCATAGAGTGTTTAAACTTACTAGTTCTTATTGTAATTTTCATGATGAAATTATTAATATCAAAAATGCTTTACCTCTAGCACTCATCAGCAAAAGGTTTTGGTTTTTTAGCATATTAATAAAGTTTACAACCTCAAGATTCCAGACCTCAACGTTCCAAAATGTCCTATCACCTTGGTGTTACTTTTCACTGGTTCTCATGGCATTAAACTAAAATGAAAAATCGAGAACATTCTGCAGCCAACTTATCCCCGAGTCAGCCTAAGAGCGATTTTCAAGCCGAACAAACGAATGTGTATATTTTTTTTTTCATTTCTTAAGACAAAATACTTCCTTCACAACAATCGCTGGTGTATCAATACACATGCCAATGCTGTCGGCATAACTACATTGGGTCAACGACAAAAACCCTAGCAACCAGAGTTAAGGAGCATGCGCAAAGCAGCCTTTCCAACAACTCTGTAATTTACAACCATCAAAGTAAAGATTGTAGCGAGAAAACGAACATCAAACATTTGAAAATAATAGACTCAGCGAGAGACGAATGGACATTAAGAAAAAAGGAAGCGCTCCTAATTTAAAACTTAAAACCAAAGTTGAACAACCAGCTAACAACACCACTGCATCTCAAACTATATGTGATAAATTTATCCTGTCTGAGATGGGCAAATAAGTGAAAACTTCGTCAAACAATCAGTTATCAATATCTATCATAAACATTATCTATAAGTTGTTTTATATATATAATTAAGTTCCTTAACTTATAAGTAACTTTTTTACTTCTTACTTACACAGTTTGTTTATTTTTGATCAGAATTTATTAATAATATAATTTATGCTAACCTTTTCAATTTTTTCATTTCATTGATATAATGTTTTAGTAATTTTAAACTCAAGTGAATGAATCTTGATAAAAAGTATAATGAACGCTGAGTTTTTTAGTTTTCTAGTTTGGTTTTTACAATAACTTGGCGGACTATAACCAAAGAAACGCACAACTGTTCAAGGTAGTTCTTACTGGCAAATAAGTGTCAGTTTTATAAAAGCAAAATTTGTCTTCTAGAATAAATCCTACAAATGGCCCTTTTATGGGGTTTCGCTTGTTTTCACTTTAACTGTTAAGCACAAACTTATTCCTACCTTTTTCTTTTATATCAGTTGAGTGCTCTGAAGACGAGGAACGTCTGGTCCGTGACCTGTTTCGAGACTACAACAAACTCATCCGGCCAGTAGAAACAATGAACAAAACTTTAGAGGTGCAGTTTGGCATGTCTTTTATTCAGCTTATCAGTGTAGTAAGTATATACGTTGGGTCCTAGATTCTAGTCCTAGTTGACTTACTTTTTATGGAACAAAACAACTATGTAATTGAATATTGAATTATGATAGTTTAAAGTTTTAGAGTGAAAAATGCCTTAGCTGGAATTTAGTAGTAACATTTTTATTAAGTGATAGCGTGAAACTTAATTAGGAATACGTAATTTCTATATTACATGCAAACGTTTGCAATTTAAGATGTTGTAGTAAATGCTTTGCTGAGATTTAAATGGAACATAATAGAACATGTGATAAAACATATTACATTTGTTTACGAAATAAGTAGAAAACTAACTCTGTAGTTTCTCAAATGTATTTTTTATAGTAAAAACTAATGAATATGATCATAAATGTTAAATTGTATATCATTTATAATTAACTTTATATAATTTACTTTCTTATATTAAGATATGTTTTATTGGATATTTTATGAACTTTTCTAGTCCTTCCCAAAGCTAATCGTCTTTGATAAAGCAGTAAAAAAGATTTTCGAACACTCTTACATCGACAAAAAAAAAGTTACTGGAAACATAGAGAAAAGAATTTATCGCTAAACTTCTGTCTTTTTCAAAGGACCAGAGAGAGTCGTGTGGCGCGTTTTCTGCAGATAAAACGGATGAAAAAGTTTCAATAGAGGTCTGAAAGATATATTCTTTCCAGTTCCATGATCATGTAACTTGTGTAGCCTAAAAGATTTTCAGATCATTTTCACCGTACTCGTCTAAGCTATAGAGGCAGCATCTCATGACCTGATTAGATACTGACAAATTGTCTTTAGAATACGATGCATTTCAGGATTTCTTGCTGTATAAAGAGTTGAGCAATTTTCATCTGTTAACCTAGATGTTATTTTTGGTTTAATGTTTTAGAATTAAGACTTACTAATTCAACGAACAAAACTAGTGTATCGTCCTCTTCATTACCAACTGCTTACCACATTATAGATATATCGTTTAATGTAGAGCTTTTGTCTTCCTATCATTAAAGTGAACAAAATGAAGTAGGAGAACAATAAGTTTTATCTGTCTCTGAGAGATTAATTTGAGAGATATGTAAATAATGAAACTGATAAGTTTCTCGATGCTATATAACACAAATCGATATTTAGATTTAAAATGTTGAATATATACTTATCTAAATAACTGTAGAGTTATACAATTTAATAATTATATGTATCTACCAAGTAAGGTATTAAATAAGTTATTAATAGTAGAAATAAACGGCTTTATAATACCAAAATATTGTTTTTATTTAATTAAACACACACCGTTTCGCTTTACAGTTTCTTCAGGAGCGTTCACTAAAACACAACCCGAAACTGATGGTACAAAGCTTCAAAAAAAAAGCTTGAAAACAATTTAAAATATTATTTATAAAATTCGATACTAGTCGAAAATCTAATCATCATCTATATTTTGAGAATATAAACGCCAATCCCTAGCTTTTGTTATGTCCTTAAGTTTGCCCGATGTTTTGTTATTCTTGCTTTTTATGTTTATATACAGATAATTCAGTATTTGTGTCCAAGATGAGAGTCTAATATGTTTTAGTAAATTCTAGATATATATATATATAAATATAAATATATCTCTGTGTGAAAATAATTAAGAAATAAGGGAAACATCTAACAATTTGTATGTTAGCATGTTTTTAATTCATATGGTATCGGTAAGATATACAAGAACTTAGATCACCACATCTTTTCTCCAGTTTATGTTGTTTACGTGTGACGTATAAAGTCGGACTGGCAACGTACCTTCTCCTTTTAATGTAGTTCTGTAGTTCAGTGCTTACATAAAGCACAATACATGGGGAGGGAAATCGATTTGTAGCTTTACGTTAACAAAAATCAGACGCAGAAAAAAATTATTTTTTACTTTTTGATTGGACATAACATTTGATGTGCAATACGGTGAATATTTAGGCTTGAAATTGAAATTGAATTATTTACACTACACAAGCTTTATTGTACAGCTATTCTTAGTGTGTGTGCTTTTTTTTCCTTGTGCAACAACACAATGGTGATTTCATTGTTGGATGACTTTCCTTTTATCATGTACATAATTAGAAATTTAAAAACTTTAACGTAGGATGTACTTGTTCTACAAAATATAACGTTCTTACTCCATAATGTAATTGGTGTATATTTCTCTAGAGGATACTCTCTCTTTTTAATGCTTCTTTCATCGGGAAAATTACTTCATTATTTAAGATGAATGGTATTAACTTGCTAATTATTTTAAATGTATATAAAATAAATCTAGTTTGCCGAAACATAATGAACTCTCATTTCTATGTACTTCTTTAACAACAAGACACTTTTTATTTAAAAGAATGGTATTTTGGGTCATAAAAATGTTTTTTATACGTTAATATCAATAAATGTTTCCATAAAACTATGGACTTTTTGGGGAACTTTAAGATGGAAGCGTTAACGGTTACTTCCATTTCTATACTTACGTCTAAAGAGATACAATAATTGACTGTTAAAAATGTTTATGGAGACTCAGCATGTCTATCATATCTCTGTACATGTCTCATATGAATTAAATTGCTCTATGTGGAGACGCAGCATGTCCATCGTATCTCTGTACATGATTCACATGAATTAAATTGCTCTATGTGGAAACGCAGCATGTCCATCGTATCTCTGTACATGTTTCACATGAATTAAATTGCTCTATGTGGAAACGCAGCATGTCCATGATATCTCTGTACATGTTTCACATGAATTAAATTGCTCTATGTGGAAACGCAGCATGCCCATCGTAACTCTGTACATGTTTCACATGAATTAAATTGCTCTATATGGAAACGCAGCATGCCCATCGTATCTCTGTACATGTTTCACATGAATTAAATTGCTCTATGTCTATAAAACCTTTGCCGGATTTCCTCCTTATAAAAATTGTATAGTCCTACATCCTAATAAAAACAAATATAAGTATACTTAGTATAATTGTTTAGGGTAAATCCACATGAGGCTATCTACTATATCCACCAAGAAGAATCCAACTCCTGGATTTAAGCTTAGTAAATCCGTAAACTTACTGCTGTCCCACTGGGGGATACTTAGTATGAAGTTAGTCAGTATGCGTAGATATATATAAATATTGTTAATTTCCTTCACTATTGTCTCCAGATGGTGCAGCGATAACTTTCTTGGCTTAAAACGCTAAAAATCGTGTTTCAACACCCGCCGTGGGCACAGCACAGACAGCTTATTATGCAGCTTTGTGCTTTAGAACAACAACTTTCACTCTTAAACGTGACAATAAATTCGGAAGGTACATGAATTTCTATTATTAAAACAATTTCATAATGAATTATTCAATGTGTGTTAATTATATTTTGTTATGCATTTGTATTCTATCTCGATTGCTTAACTTATGGTATTTATACGTGGTTACATAGCATACATTGGGTTAATGAATGTAATTTTTTTGTTATTACACACGTTGTCTACAGAGGTATTATTTTTTTAGATATATTTTACAATAAAATTGCTGAATTATGAAACCAGAAATTATACTGAGTTATCTTCTTGAAACGTCTTGTTCTTTATTATTTCATCATATCTAAACTACTATATAGCATTTGTGTTTTTAATTTTTTATGTCTACATTTTTCATTTTATTCTAAATATATGCTAAATGTAACGGTCCTCCTTTGAATTTTTGGTCCATTAGTTTATCCTTTCTCCAGGAAATCAAGGCAATTTCTAATACATTTTCCTTTTCTGGTTGTCTTAACAAATACTAATGCAACGTAGTCGAAACGCTTTATGAAATGTTCGTTCTGGTTTTTACATGTACATATATGATTTATTTTTGTTATAACAATATGTACAGGTCCATTGCTTTTATACTGACTTACTATTGTTTCTTTTCTATAATTATGGTTTCCGTTATTCTTTATATGATAAGACATACACAAGTTAATTGATGTTGTTTTTCAGAACTTTTGGGGCATATTAGAAGGATTTAGAGATTTTGAGAGTAAAGTCAATTAAAAAACGACCTCTACTCTCCAAATAATAATAATAAAACCTTGCATTTCAGCTAACGTGTCGTCATTGCGGCTTCATCGGGGCTTGTAATATAATAATTCTTATTGTTATAGGTATTTACTATTATTATTTTATTAAAAATACGTGTTTTAGCTCGTTAGCCTTAGCCTTCTTCATGTAGAACATACGTGATCGTTTGTAAAAGCCGAAAATCGTGGTCTTAGTAAAGAATAATAATGAATTAAACAAACTATGTGTAATAGGTAAAACCACAACAAGGAGTTAACTCTAGATATATATATTTTAATACATATACTGTTGTGGATACAACGTTTCGGGCTTCTTCAGGTATCACTAACTGAACAGTAAATCCGTAAACGAAAACATTCTAAATCGAAGGTCGCGTGACAATGTAACAAATAAACGTGTATAACAATGCTTACAAACGCTTGAACCAATAGGAAGTTTTATATATATATATACTTAAAAGCGTACACATACACACATACATATATATATATATAACCACATTTATACTTACATACACATGCATGCGCACGCGCACACATCCATATATGGCCATATATATGCATTATACTTTTTAAAAAGTATGTGTAATACCGACAATAAAACTTTGCTTCAGATTTGACAACAGTATGACTATAGAAAAAATTCATTGTTGTTTACGTACTTTTCTATCTTAAATGTTAATTTATAATTTCATTGTTTAATAAATAACAGTTTCTTTGACTGAGTAGTTAATGATTACGAATTACTTAATTTCACACCAAGAATATCTTAATTGCAGAATGAGAAAAACCAAATTATGACGTCCAATGTATGGCTTCAGCTGGTAAGTAATCTTTTGTTTATTTCGTATTTTTAAACTGTTCAGCATCATTAAATAATATTAATCAAACGTTTCATTAACTGTATTTGGAAGGCTTAGCGTCTTGTGTGACAGGAATGTCTGTCAAGCCAATATTAAATGTAGTGTAATGAAATGTTATCTCTAACATACTAATAATTTGTATTATCTTGTCTAATTGAGTAAGATATTATAGAACTGGTATAGGTTTTCAGCAGCAAATAAACTCGTTTATATTATGCATCTGCTAGTTGAAAGCAGAGAGTTGATTCCTCAGTATGTACATAACTGACCTACAAGTTAATAGACGCTGCTGACACTACAGATCGACCATATCCATGACGCCATATAAATAATCCCGGCTTATAATTAAACGTATTGCTTGATAAAAACTCCATAGCTACGCTTTGAACGAAAGGAACCCGGGAAGTAACCATATATTTTCGCGAGGTCGCATAGCTGAACGATGGGAGAGCGGTTAAAGTCAGAGAAAAATTGCTAGGTCACTTACGACACCGCTGACCATAACAAATAGGATAATAATTCAGTCTATTCGCGTCCACAAACAAGTTTGTTCTGTTTTGTTTTTTACGGCTCGAGATCCACAACCAAGAAAACAGACTGTCTCTTCATGCTGTTATTAATGAAAAGTATGGATAATGGCCCATGTCGAATGGCTGCTACTGTTGCAGAACATGTACAAATATGCTAAATATCATCAGGAATTATCTTCATAACATGTGCTTTGTTAGAGTAAACCACTCTCCATTCCATGTAATATCGTTAAGTCTACAGCAGTGGAAATCTCAGGTATTATCCCAGTTTCCTGCACTTTAGGACACTAGTTTTTTCTTACAATTACAGATTTACATAATTTTCAGATAGTGGACACACCTAGATTAGGCGACTATGATTCTCTGAACTTTTACTGAACCATGTAAAGATCACTATAAGATGTTATGGTGTGAAGTTTCGTTTGGGCAACTGGATTATCACAACTGGCAATATGCTAAGAAAAGGTAAGAAGATCTGTGCTGCTCGATACGTCACAAAACTCGAGCAAAGCTTTCTTTAATGACCAGCTTACCAGACAAGGTGTTTTCAGTCTGACCAACAAAACGATAGCTTAAAGGTCAAGACATTACCACTTCCCCATGACGAGAACAGTTGCTAGAAATGAACCCTATTCTCGATTGTTTTCCGCCATACTTCTAAGAACATTCGTATCCAAAGTCCTCTCAGGAATGGAATGTAGTTTATGTAAATAAGATATGTAATTATGTTTCTGCCTTAAATATTGCGTAGAGCAGATCCAATAAATACTAATACAATTTGTTTGCTATTTACTTGAGGTTTATTTGTTTATTACAACAACATTCTATCTGAAGTTATTATATATATATGATGCAGTTAATTGCATTGTTTCTTTTTAGCTTTGGTTTGACTACCAGTTACAGTGGGATGAAGCTGAATATGGAGGGATAACTGTTCTTCGTTTACCACCAGACAAAGTTTGGAAACCTGATATTGTATTATTTAATAAGTAAGAAAAAGTACTCCTTCAAAAAAATTTGTCATGGAACCTTAATGCAGAGAACCAGGATATTGTATATAACATTTACTATTTAACAGATATTTTGTATTAATTAGTATTTTCTGACTAAATGCCGATAAAATAAAGTTATGAATAACATTTTTGAGGTAAAACATATTTTATGATTTTTAGCTCTTCTTTTAGTAAAATAGCAAAAAACGAATGTATAATTTTGGAAATATTAGTCGTTTGTATTTACTAGTTTAACTGATAATCATGAAAGCACTTGAAAATTGATATATTTTTAAGCAGATTATGTATTCATAACTCTAACCCTATTTATAGTCTTAATACTATCATCGTCAGGACTCATAGTAGTGTAAGTCTTTAAGGTTTTGTTCTTATTGCATTTACTCACCGAAAATGTGAAAAAGACTTTTCTAAACAGCATGAAGAAAATGACAGATAAAACAAGAGACTTTGTGCTGTCCTGACTTTTCTTCTATAGTTCATGGGTGGAAGAAAGTATATTATATATATAAATAAGGGTCTTTGTGCTGTCCTGACTTTTCTTCTATAGTTCACGGGTGGAAGAAAGTATATCATAATTTATATTTATGCTATACTTTCTTCCACCCATGAACTATAGAAGAAAAGTCAGGACAGTACAAAGTATCTTATTTATATTTTTTTTCATGTTCTTTCCGTTAGTCTGTAATATGTATATAAGGATAGTATTTTCAGGAAGAGACAAATTACTGGAGCGTGACTGTGAGACTTGATAACTTGTAAAACATTCGCGCATGTTTACCTTTAAAATGACTGGAAACTAATAGCCAGTTTATATCGTGAACTAGAGCCTGATTTTGTATGTCTCGTAATTTTCAGTAGGGCGTGAGCAATGGTTTATTTTTCCAAGGTTTTCAGAAACTCTGCTGTGGGCTTACAGTAAAAGGAGTTCCATCTTGCATCATTAATTGGTAATCTTAATAGTAACTAGCATTCATCTTTGCTTTGCTTTGAAGTTAATGAAATTTAAGTTTTCAGATATGCAAAAAATTTGAGGCAACCTTAAAATCAGATGAAAAGGGTTCTTTACATTATGTTTATCATGTTAAAAAGCCCTGATCATTGTGTGATCGGTAGGAAATCACTCATCTTTTGTCGCACCCATTCACCAAGGCCCAGCCCTCGTCAGATGCTAGAACCAAATTCCATCTTTTCACGTGTATAACATTTCTCTTAGTTTTCTGAAACGTGTCTTCCTCTGTTCAATGTGTGTTTGTCTGAGAAGAAGTAGTTTGTTCAATAATGATTTATTCCTCTTTACAAAGACGAGATCTTGGTGAATTATCACGTGCACAGATAATTAGTATACTTGCAACTTGTTAGCAGTCACTTTCGGGATGGGGGAAAATGGTCGATGAAGAACTAATCTGTGGATTTTGTCAATCTACCTACAATCCTGAGTGATGTGGAATGCTGTAGGTAGATAAATATTTAATCCCATGCAGACGTGCTAACCTTACCTTGCCAGTGTTTTTCATAATGCTATAGATATTATATTTTTGAAATCAGTGTATCCAAAATATTGCATCTCTTTGCTGTGCTTATGTCTTTTCTTAGAATAACTTAAGCACCTTTATTTAGATCATACATCCATTCGTGGGGACATTGCATTATCGAGGGCTTGAGAATTTGCCGTCAACTAAATATAATTAAGGTACTTAAGGCACTTGATTTGTAATCTGCGGATCATGGGTTCGAATCTCGTCCTCCAACATGCTTACCCATTCAACCATGGGGACATTTGTGATTGTTAATCCCACTGTTCCTTGGCAAATAGTAGCCCAAGATTTGGCCCAGTGGCACAGCGGTATGTCTGCAGACTTATAACGCTAGAATCCGGGTTTCGATACCCGTGGTGGGCAGAGCACAGATAGGTACATTATAAGACTAACGTTCAAATCTCAGTATTTGGTCTGACAAGAGTAGTCCAAGAGTTTGGAGCGGGTGATGTTAATTAGCTACTTTTTTATAGTCTATCACATCAAAATAGTCCTCGCATTCCAACAAAACAAATAGTTCCAAGGTAAGCACGTGACCTACAACATCGTTGTAACAATGTGTTATTAACTTAATGTCGTATCTAAGCTGCCTTATATCATAATCAATTCTCTATTAATCCCCGTGAACTAATAATTTACTTACTTCGCCCAAGAGATTTCCCAAACACACTTTCAGTTATATATAAATTCGACTGATATTTCTCCAATAAATATTATGATACATAATTACATGTTGCTTATATGTCTGTTAATTTGAATAATGATCTATGAAGAAGCTCACATACGTAATATTTAATGAAAAATTAGAAATATAATCAGCTTACTTTAATATGAATATTCTACAACTAAAATGTTAGCAAACTTATATTATCGTAAATATGTTCGAACTTAGTAGGTGTATCTCATGTATGTATCATAATTATCATAACAATGTTTTTTTCAAAACTATATAAATATAAATCTTAAGATGCAATTCTCAAAATATTAAGAATGCATATATTGTGGTCAATATATTCTCTAAATAGAGAAATATAATTCCAATTACCAGTTATATAAGTTCCAGTGTTTTATAGTGAAGTGTTTCTATACCAATATCATTTCACTTGTTAATTTAGGTACATAAGTATATCTTGAAATGTAACCAAATAAGATCATTGGTTAGAGTAAAGGTCACATTCCATGAATTGTGATACTCTTAAATATAACACAAGTCGTGCTAATTACAACCTCTGTCCCTCTTATAGCATAATAATTATTAATTGAAGTACAGTAAGTTGGACTATAGGATATTAATACAATTAAGGGACATGGTAAACGTGATAAATTCTGATTATCCATTTGATCAGTATCTGTAGCTATGCTACTAATGATTATTTCAGTTTTAGCTGGTTATCTATAGCTAGAACATTTTGAATAGTAATTGTCTGTACATCTTATGTACTCTAGTCTATCACTTCAAAATTAAGGACGGCTAGCGTAAATAGCCCTCGCAATCCAACGAAACAAACATGACTTAAAACATCGTTTTAACAAAGAGTGGTTAACTTCAGCAAATACTGTTTAAGCTATGTCTTATATCAAGATAAACTTCCTTGTAAAACAGGGTAAACAAACCTAACAATTTATTTACTCGGCTTAAGGGATTTCCAAACACACTATTACGTATACCACTTTTTGTATACTACTTGTGTCTTAGGATAAATTAAGTTATTCTTTATTTTGATAGTGCTGATGGAAACTACGAGGTCCGTTACAAGTCCAACGTTCTCATTTATCCTGATGGGAGGGTGATGTGGGTGCCTCCCGCCATTTACCAGAGTTCTTGCACCATTGACGTAACCTATTTTCCTTTTGATCAGCAAAAATGTGTTATGAAGTTTGGCTCGTGGACATTCAATGGAGATGAAGTGGCCTTAAAACTGTATGGCGATAACTTCTGGGTAGATCTCTCTGATTATTGGAAAAGTGGCACTTGGGACATTGTAGAAGTTCCAGCATTCCTTAATGTCAACAATAATTCCAAATATGGCAAACCTACTGAAACGGACATCTCTTTCTATATTACTATTCGTCGGAAAGCACTCTTTTATACAGTGAATCTTATTCTCCCCACCTTTTCTATATCTTTTCTCTGTATTCTTGTCTTCTATCTTCCTGCAGAAGCTGGAGAAAAAGTGACTCTTGGAATATCAATCTTGCTCTCTTTAGTAGTGTTCTTGCTATTAGTGTCGAAGATCTTGCCACCTACTTCTCTTGTACTTCCTTTGATTGCAAAATATCTGCTCTTCACCTTTTTAATGAATACTGGTTCCATTCTTATAACAGTAATCATTATCAATTGGAACTTCAGAGGCCCACGGACTCATCAAATGCCCAATTGGATTCGAGTGGCATTTTTAAAATATTTGCCTATTCTTTTGTTCATGAAGAGGCCAAAGAAGACCAGACTGAGGTGGATGATGGAGATGCCAGGATATGGGACCCATCACTTTTACCACAGTTCACCTGATAGAAAGCAGTATAATGCAAGAAACAAGGCAGAGTTAATGGAATTAGCTGACATCCACCACCCAAATTGTACAGCAGCAAGAAAACCTTCTCCAGAACCTGAGGTTCAACTGCTTGACACAGAACCACAGGACACTTTGTTCTTAAGCCCCAAAGCATATAGAGCAACTGAAGCTATAGAGTTTATTGCGGAGCATCTACGGAGTGAAGACGAATACATACAGGTAAAATAAGCAATAAAAATATAATATTGAATAAATGAGATCTAAGTCATCAACACTATTTTATTTTATTATGATGTGTATCATGGTCTGAAATTAGCAAAATTTCTAACTGGTTCTTCAGAAAAATTCTAATTGTCCACCAGGAATTATAACTGGTCTTTATTAAATTTAGCTGGTATGCTTCAAGAGCATCTAGGTATATATATGTATATATAATTATATAACAAAGAAAAAAAGGTTACATCATAGCGTGAACTTAACACAGCATATCCAAACCTTAGATGAAAAATAATTAATTGTAATATTACATATAAAATGAAAGCAAAAAAGATAATAGAAACAACGCAACTATAAAACAAACATGTACCATCTGGGAACACACCATAAGGTGGGTAGTAATGTGATGTGCCCTGGTTGTTGAGGTACTGGCGGAAGTAAGACCCAACTTGCGTTGGGGGTACACCGTCTATCCAGTTTAACCTCAGTTTCGCAAGCCTCGCATTCTTAATAATAATAATAAAATAAATACACAATGAAAAAGAGCAGATGTGGATGCTCTAGCCCACAACGTCCCTCATCTTTGGCATCTTTCGCTGTCTACAGCCAGATGTGGTAAGGTGGCTGCTAAAAAAAAAAATTAAGAAGAAAGAAATAATTGGAATATATTCATCAGTGGAGGAGACAGTAAAACTGTCCTTGAAGTTGGCATTCCAACCCCCATAATGATGTTTGCACATCTCTGTGTTGTTATAACGTCATACCTCATTTTCAATTTTTACCTTTAAATTTACACTGTCATTTTAACCTATATTATTACAATATAAACATATATATGCATTTATATTTTATAAGTGATAAAATGCAAATATATATTCACTGTATAGTTTCGTAAAGAAAGATGGATAAGATTCATGCCGGCAACAATACAGTTCCGACCAGAATTTAATAAGTGATTTTCACACCAATAACCCAGGTAACAGAACTGTGCCATTCACATTCAATCTGAGCTCGTAATAAAACTGTTGTATTTACTAATATGCTGTAGTTGAAATTTTCAGCAAAATATATCATATCATGGAGAACAATATCAAACTTCCAACAAACATTATGTTGGTTAATAGTATCTTCAGCATTGTTTACAGTACTTAGAGGACAGTTACCAAGTAAAGGGTTAAAACACACCCAACTTTCACCCAAATCTTTGTCCATGTTTTGAAATTCAAACTAAAACTAATACACAAATATCTACGGCTAAACTAGAATAACAACACACTATCCTGCATTAATATATTTTTTTTATTCACCATGTCATACAAGAAGTAGCTCAAAAATTGAAAAGATTTAGCAAAGAACTTCTTTGAAAGTTAATTCATTTTACGGTACAAAGAAGAAGTTCAAAATTGCATGCACGCAACATGTGATGCATGCTTCCTTATCTTTTTTTTCAGTCGTTCCTGTGTTTTTTCGTTATTAACAATATGTTTACCTTTGTGCATATGAACTATGCACTGTTCTGTACATTAACAACACTTTCATTACGTGCAGAGTACTATTGGTAATGATCTCCAAAACCACACCCCAAACCAAGCTGGAGCAATTCCCTCATTTATAAAGACTATAGTTTCAGAAGAGAATTATTTGATCACAAAAGCAATTGAAATGAAGCTGCATATATCTTCTAGTACCATTAACAATGTAACATGCATGGATTGGAAGTTGATGAAGGGTAACAAACCAGCCATACATAAATTCCCAACCATACCACAAAATCAATGATCATTTTGATGAGAAAGATTTCGAAATAAACTACTGGAATCATAATTATTCCCATTTAACCATATACCAATGTTCACGCTATTCCTTATATATATCAGCAAGTTTCTGCAATGCTGCTATAAATAGTTTATACTTTTGTCTGCTTAAATGTGGCCTAGAAAGACAACTTCAGAACAGTGAACGGTTTGAGCAACGTTTGACAACGTGTTTGGTCCTCTGTTTTACTTTGAAATAGCTCATTCCAATAGATGTTGTTTTGTTTGTTAATATGCATGCTCAGCAATGGATCTTTAAACATCATTCATGTAAAGTGCAATTAACCCTCAGTATACTGATTTTTCAGTAGATAATTCCACTGTTTCCAGTAAACTGTGCATCATAGCTGTTATAACTACAATATCAAACTGTCTATAATACAAAAAAATAACATTACTAACTTTTGACTGACGCAAAAGCTATTGATGTTCACAAGTATTTATGATCCCAAAATCGTAACGTTACTTCTGTTAGAGAGTTATTCCATCTTGTGGAAAGCATTACCTTTCTTTCTGACGTTATCTTCTGAATCATTTAACTTGTCCATGTCTATTTTTTTACCAAAACCTTTTCTATTCATCAATAACATGTGTAGATTTCATCTTGAGTGACAACTAAACTGTAATCTGCATTACATATTGTCAAAATAATTTCACTTGATAATGTAACAAATTGTATTTCAGATGAACATATTCAATATTCATCGTTAAATTCTATTCCGTCGCTCAGAAAGGAAAGGCTACTAATTTATTTTTGTCTTTCAGATGTTAAATTCTAGTTAATAGCTGATGTTCACCTGTGGTCACAAAGCTCTCTTAACTGCCAATTCACAGGTGAATCTAGAGCATTTTAATGATTAACTTACATCATGAAGATTTACTTAAGTGTACACTAAACAATTATTGAAAATCCCTTTAAGTGCTTAAATATTACAATAATTATAAGATGCCGTCCTAGCTTATCGTATCTGATCATTTTCAAGCGTAGCAGAGATTGGCAATGTCACTGCAGACTTTCTTTCAAACAAGTTACATGCACAAACATTGTTTCATCCTTATCTAATTGTTTGTGAAAGATCGCACAAGTTCTCATAACATCACTGTTCACCTTATTTGGATTTTGGTCATTGAAATCATCATTCTCATCAATGTCCAAAACCTCTTTTCCATTTCTTTCTCTATCTCTTGATCCATTCAATCCGCAAGAGGCTCGTCAATTGGTTTCAATTTATTTACATGCTCCAAACACACACACACGTGATTGCACCACTTAATTGTTAATAAGTGAAGTTCAACAAACTGAGCTATCAAATCATGATATATGAACTGGCCTAATTTTGTTCCAGAACCTGTCATGCTTCTAGCCTGTAACAAGCTTTGTTTTGAAACTGTTCCTTGTCTTACCAATTCAATTATAACTCCCTTTCCTATTCTTTAGAACATAAATTCATGTGTATGATCGTTAACAGCTTGTAGCTACTCCACACATTTCTGAAAACATTCATACATTGGTACTGGTATGTGAAATGTATATCAAATTTTGTGAAGCAGTAGATGACATAAGATAGTTAATCACTCCAGTTTGTCCATTCAGAGATTTTAAACTTCACAATCATCACTTGACATCTTGCTGTACTTGATCAACCAAACCATCATACTGTAGAATACATGCCTTCACCACTTCTAATATGTGATACAACTGTAAGTAGTATGATGCCATTCAAAATTGATCGCTTTTAAAAGTGTGTATGACAGCCTTTTCCGACGCAAGATAGTTTCACCCCCAGGTCATAAAGATGTGTTCAGATTAGGAATTTCGAATTTCTAAGACGGGGATACCTCTCATACGTGATGACATTGAGAAATAAACGAATATGGACCTACAACAAGTCATACCCTAGCCATGGTAAACACATTGCAGTGTTTTGTAACAACTGATAATTCACAAACACAAAAGTCAGTAACAAAAACCGGTCACATACCTCAGGCAACAGTATGCAATATAATCAAGAAGGATCTCCGTTTGAAAAAGCAAAATACGGTGCGTGTACATGAGTTGTTTTCACGACATATCTGTTATACGTGACATACTTCAAGCAGCTAGAGAATGAAGTGGATGTTCATGCTATTCCACACGAAGACATTCCAGTCAAGTTGACGAATGCAGCGCCTATGGATTTCTGAGCGATGTACTGCTGAAAAAGCGCTGTAAAACTATCGTCATCATACATTGGATGGATCATGGAAACCAGCAGGAGAAGTGATTTGATAACCTTACAACAGAGTATTTTGTAATAAAAGCTACGATGCTCGGTTGTCAGAAAGACCATGACCTGACATGGAGTGTAACGATGTTTTGAGGTTCCAAAATCGTTTTATTATAACTTAATCAACCTCTGTACTTTTAGAAATTACATGAGAAAATGTAATCAGAGTTAAAATAAGGCGTTTCTGGACATCCATGGATGTAAATGTATACAGCTGTTGAACAAGTCAGTAGTGAAAGAACAACTAAGAAACGTATTGATAAACAGCATGAAGTAACACTAAAAATACAAGTTATAGTTTTATTAGTTATTAATTCCAATTAAATAACTTAAATTTCATGCAGCAGATAAAGGATCCAGTGCAGTCTCTTATTAATTTACAAAAATAAATAATTTCATTCATTCTGCTTTTTGGTATTATAATTATTAATGAAAGATAATAAATCTTCACGTAACAAATATCTGTTAAACCTTGTTTAAGGTAAAATCTATCGCGCTGAAAAATGAACAATATATCAATTAATTACCACATTATGTTAATTTTTTACCATGTAACAGCCTATAAATTGTGCCATGAAATATGAAAGTCGGTAAAACGTACGAACAATAAGAATGACTCATAGAGTATCGTACGGCATGATATTTAGACTAAACGACTTCATGACCCTCAGATATCGTACAACAATAAGTTATATTTATATGGTCACTGCCATCCGGTGAAGTGGCAAGTATCCTGACACACACTGTTTAGAAGTAAGTAACGACCTAAAGTGTGTGATTTATTCACAGTGCTCGCCATTTAAAACACCTGTTTACCTCGTAAAACATCGAATATAGAAGCGTAAATATCGTTTATTGAGTGAAGTGCCGTTTGAGGCTGATAGCGGCAAACGTGGGTGGAATAGTTGATCCAGAATGATGATTGCATTCTAACCTTATTAAAAAAGACTTAAAAGTTGTGCTTAAAACTACCAAGTCTGGTCTCGTGAGATTAACTGACGCACAGAGGAAATCAATTTGCTTTTGTTCCTTTGGTGACTGTGTGAAGAATTAAAAAAAAACTGTGAGCTTTCACCATGTGGCAATTTATCTTATAACAGTTAGAAATATGTGTGTGTATATATTGAAGGATTGTTCATTTTACCGTGTATATATATACAAGTGATTTTTTTATCATATGTATTAGTGAATTCTACATTACCTCTTGAAATCAAGGAAACAAAATCTTCAAAAAACTTTCTAACAATCATTTGTTTGTTTAAGCGCAAAACTACACTATAGACTACCTACGCTATGCCCTCCGCAGGGATCGAGCCCAAGCATTATAAACCCTCGAGTTTATGGCTCAACCACCAGAGCGTTATAACAAACTTAAATGTTTGTAGTTGATTAAGGTGTGACATGGAATCAATTCTTAGTGATTGTCAATGTTTTTCAAATATATATTGTATTTCAAGTAAGTATGTATTACTACTCTATTTTGAGAAACTACCTATCCACAATAATAGGCGTCTATTTGTCAGTTTTATTTTTAATTCAAGATTCAGCTAAAGATATTACAGCCTGCTATCTCACTGTTTCACTACTAAATATCACCGAAACACAAATTTTACTAGTTAAAAGGTATTTTCAAATTGTAGAGAATTAGACGAAACGACATTTCTCACAATCAAAAATATATATTTTAATTTTAATGACTTGAGCTGAATAGTTTCAGTAGCATGATTACCATTTATCTTCGTACATTAATTATTTGTAATTAAACATTTGTTCATTCATAATTTTTTGTTATGTATATGAACAATTCTGACAGATCTTTGAGAACGTTAAGTAATATTCCTATAGAACTGCTTTATATGTACTGTAATGTTATGATTTTCATAAGCTTAATGCTATTTAGTATTTATAAACATGAAATAAAAAAACTGTCAGAAAGTAAATATTTTTGCGATTTACAAAATATCAAACTAACACTACTTTGGAAGTCTTCCGAGTACCGAAATTAATACATTGTTTTTTTTACACACGATATAATGTATTTAATTCCCCAAAGAAAGTGATAGCGTATCGTTAACTGATGCCTCCAGTGTGATACATATATTACAATTATTGGATTTATTCAAGAGCTATGTATTTTCTAGTACTTTATATGTACATGTCGGGCTTCTTATAATGTATTTATCTTGTCATGTCTTATTTCAGATACGGGAAGATTGGAAATATGTTGCTATGGTGATAGACCGTCTCCAATTGTACATATTCTTTGCTGTGACAGCTGCCGGAACGATTGGCATTCTCCTGGATGCACCGCACATTTTTCAGTACGTAGATCAAGAAAAGATAATAGAAATGCACAAGGGAAAACCAACATGAGTTACAGACCTTGATGCATTTGAAATTGTTGGCTAAATAAGTCTGGGAATAAATTCTTCAAATGTTAATCTTATTGAACGTTGTTTACTCAAAAATAAATTTTCTGGGATTTTTACACTACTACGTGAAGAGCTTAATAAAACCGGGTATATTTGGTACGCTTACAACAACAGACGAAAGTCATAGAAAATCGTTCCTGTCGTGGTGTGTAGTTTCATCATTTTAGAGATCACTAAAATAGTGCACAGAAATCATAGTTGTTAATTACAAGTCAAAACTGCCAAAAACGAAATGTACTAATTTACGTATGAAATTATAAATATTTATAAAGACCCTTAGAAAAGTATTTACAGCTGCTTCTGAGTCATGACGATTAATGCAACATACATGACAAACGGTTTCTCCAATAACTTTAAACTTAACAATGCGTATTTACAGCAGTTCTACCTACACATGTAACAGTTATCTCTAACCGAAACTACAAATACCAGTATGTGGAACATCGAAATCGGTCATTTTATTTTGACACTTTGGGAGTTGCATGTTTATGCCTGGACATTGAGAAAATAACAAATCCTGCCCACAAATTGTTAACAAAGTTCTCTCACTAACGTTCTCAAAGTGTGAAAAAGAAACAATTCAGCATGCTCTTCAAATCTATTTAGAAATAGATGCTTTGTGATGTCTTGTTCTTACAGTTTTCGAAAGCTCAATAACTTCAGAGATACTACTACTGTTTTTATAAGTGTAGTTTTTTATGTCAATAATACGAGATGTCAGTTCAGAGGACTTATTACGCTTGATAGAATTTTCTTCTTCAGGCTTTAGATTTGTAAAATTGTGTAATCCTAGTGTCGTAAATGTGGAAATAAGTTAATTAAGAGATCACGTGGACTAGATGAGGTCAGCAATGAAATATTTTATAATTCAGACAGTGTAAGCGGTGAAGAAATAAACCCTGTAATAAACACGCGACCTTCTTAAACAGTGTAGCCATACCAGTAAGGATCGATGTTCGCTTTTATACTACTAAAAATATTCTTTGTTTTCAACAATATGAATGGATTCAAGGAAGCTGCTTATCTTCATGGAATTCTTCTGTTATGACTGCTTTCTCCAAGCATTCTTGGTCAAAGTATTGTATATAGCGAAGCAATTATTCCAACTGCATGCGAGATTTAATGTCAAGCTCAGAGACTGGTGATAACCAAGCCTGGGAAACTTATAAGAAAAAAGTCTAATAGAGATATACGACTTTATTTATTTAAAGTATATTATCTCGAAATAATAAATATATCTCTCAGTTGAAGTTACATTAAGTTAACTTTGCCTAGTTTTGTTAATTACTCAATAATTATGGACAGAGAGTTATTCATTTATGTTTCTCCAAATTAAAGTTTGAATGATTAACTTTAAAAACGTTGGGTTTGTAACGTTCTTATCTTTTCATAAAGAATTCAAATTTGATAACTTTGCGTTTACAAAGAAACACAAAAGAGGATTGATCATGTGAATAGTTTAAATAATTAAGTGAGGATTTATCTGTGCTTTTAGAGTTATAGGACCTGATAAATAGTTTGAAATGTTTCACACCTAATATAAAACATCATATTAATATTAGTTGAAACTTTAACATGCAGTGTAATTCGATATATTAAGGTACATTTATATACGAAACTGTAAGAGAACGTTATTATAGTCGATTTAATGCTTTAATAATAAGATAATTTCAAAATATTTTTAGCCTGAATCATCTACTTTTATAATACAAAAATCAAAATGTTTTCTGTGGACCTATATAAAACAATGCTATAAGATTACGTTTCTTCTGTTAACTAAGATCACCTCTAAAACTCTGAGTAGAGAAATGAAGGATTATTTTTAGAAGCATAATTGCCCGCCATTTAAGTATAACGTTGTTTTATCATGACGCTAGTACTAAATATACATACACATACGTGTGTATCTGTGTGTGTGTATAATATTTTAAGTATTTTTAAGAATAGTGAAGTTATCATTTCAATTAGCATGATAAATGCTAAAAACAGTAAACAAAACTTTTGTTGAGTCGTAGATACAAACATTCTTATACTAAAAACAGTAGCAATTTATACAGAAATACGAAAAAGTAAAAGAAGTTGCTAAGCAAAAGAATCTGGTTGAGTCTTCAACCAAGTAACTGTATTAAGTACTTTTACTTCATTTACTGGGAGATAAAACAAATGGATTTTGTATGAAAGGAGAAGAATTTGCAAAAGGTACATATATAATGTATAAAATACAATAACTTTTATCTTGTGTACACCTCAAGTGTTATTATAGAACAAAGCGAGTTATACCAACACTAAGATAAAGATAGCAGCTTTAAGATGAACGTTAGTAATATTTAGAAATAAGTAACTTTAATTAAATTTGATAAAAGTAAGTAAATATGATTTCATGTTGCTGTCATGCAACATAATGGCGAAAAAATTATTATTCGACACATATCAGTGATAAACTGGTATAGTTTGAATGTGATTTATCAAACTTGGTTATATTTATCTAGAATCATTTGTATCAAATTTCTTCATCTATCCATTTTTAGTATCGGCTTTGTATTTCTGTTTTACTTTTTCCTGTTTGTTGAAGAATGTTAACATTTACGACCCTATCAAATAAAATCAAAAGTTGTATCGCTTCAGATAGAAGATATTGTGTTTCGCTTATTAAGAAATAGTTTTAAGGATACATTATAACTTAGAATACAGTGTTATATTTACCTACAATTGTTAATATTTCTGCATTGTACGTACCATCTATATTATATTTTCAGTTTTTAATACATAAGTTTCATTTCTATTTCACGACGATGCTGTACAAATCAGTAAATTATGAAATAAGGAAAGGTTTTTCAAAGAATATTTTATTCACGGCCTTCACTCCCGACTACTGATACATAAAATATCAGCTTAAAGCATTTGATTCTCCAGAGTTATTAAATCAAAATCCCAAATTTAAAATTATATTTCTCAAATTTGATGAATACAAAGACACTAAAAAAATAGCATAAATTTCGAGTTCTAGTAATAAATTTTCACCAAGTGAAATAAGAGAAACTTAAAATACGAGAATAATAATTTGTTGTTTATGAACTGAAAAAAAGGTACAAATAGATTTATTATCTTATGTAGAGTAAATTTATTTAACATACATAATTATTTAACTTACCAATGTTTTGTATATCTTTGTAAAACAATTTGATAACTTACTGACTTACACATATACTTGACTGACAATTAGAACTAAAAGATGACAAATGTTTATTGTGTGTTGATCTATGACACATTTAAAGAAACAATTTGATAACTTACTGATTTACACGTATACTTGACTGACAATTAGAACTAAAAAATGGCAAATTTTTGGTGTGTGTTGATCTATGACGCATTTTAAGAAACATTAAATTTCCAGAATACTTTTCTCGATATCGTTGAAAAGTCCAACTAAAAAAAATCTAAAAAAATCGTGAATTGTTCTTTATGTCTAATGCAAAAAAAAAATACTTCACAGGGCATAAATCTTTATAGACTTTTTAATACGTTTGAACTCATAAAGTTTTATATCAATATTTGCCCGCCCCCTCAGTGACACAGCGAAATGTCTGTGGATTTACAACGTTAAAAACCGGGTTTCGATATATATATATATATATATATATATGGTGGGCAGAGCACAGATAGCCCATTGTGTAGCTTTGTGCTTAATTTCAAAACCAAACCTGGTGGTAACTGTTTAGTTCTTATTCGCCCTATTCAATATTATATTGAGACACCACACTTTATTTATAAGGGTATTCAGATAAGTTCGTAAGAGCGCAATTAGGCCACGTGTAGCTTTGCGCGAAATTCAAGCCAAAACCAAGTTCGTAAGATTATGTACAACGTTCATATTGGAATGTTTAATAGTACATTCATCTGATTCTTGTTAAATTTTGTGAATTTTGTCTTCATTGAGATTGCATCAAACCAAGAGGAACATTCTAATAAAGACGTCTATATAAAGGATCTAGTCGTGGCCCAATGATTAGTGTCTCAAACTGAGGATCAAAGGACTGAAGGATCCGTGGTTCGAAATGTGATCCTGGTAAACACGCTCCGCACTTTCAGCTGTGGCCGTGTTATAAAGGTGACATTCAATCCTGTTATTCGTTTCCAACAGTCAGAAAAACAAATTTGCACACAAGATGCTACTTTATTCCTTCCGTCTGGTCAAGTAGTTAAACATTAGAAGCAGCTATACCTAAGTCCTAGGGGGTCTCTGACTTGGGCATTTATCTCATGAGCACCTAAAATGCCATTCAGCTTGAAAATTTCAGTTTCGTAACCATAAAAGTGTTTAATAATATTTTCTAAAATATATGTTACACTATACATAAGGCCCGGCATGGCCAGGTGGTTAGGGCGCTCGACTCGCAATCTGTGGGTCGCGGGTTCGAATCCCCGTCACACCATACATGCTCGCCCTTTCAGCCGTGGGGGTATTATAATGTGACGGTCAATCCCACTATTCGTTGGTAAAAAAAGTAGCCCAAGAGTTGGCGGAGGGTGGTGATGACTAGCTGCCTTCTCTCTAGTCTTACACTGCTAAATTAGGGACGGCTAGTGCAGATAGCCCTCGTGTAGCTTTGCGCGAAATTCAAAACAAACAAACACTATACATAAACATGTTTTTAGAGTTTGGTGTGTTTTGATAGTTTCTTTTTTAATAAGAAAAGCATTTTTGTCACACCAGACATTTTCGACAACTATGCATATTGCTTGTCGTACTAAGCTAAGGAAAAAATTAATAACAGTAATATATATATATATATATATATATGACACAGCAAACGACCCCCGTAGAAAATAAAAAGTCAGGCACCTAATTAATCATACAACTATTTCTCATGGCAAAGTTAAATGATAAACAGTCTGT